TTTTTTTTTTTTTACTGCACAGGGTCATAGAATCAGTTGGGCACCGTCTGTCAGCAAAGGAACCCCATGGCGTAATTCACTCCAATAGAAATTTGGAAATGGCATACTATACCGCTTGTCAGTCGCGCCGTAATCTCCAAAGTGTTTAGGTGTCAATCTGAGAATAGTGCACAGTATTCGAAAAATGGTGGATATGGCTAGTGGTGATTACGAATGTACAGCAGCTCGAAAAACTTACCTTGATCTTTCTGATATGAAGGAACTGCCAAATTTGTTTTTAAACCACTCAGGTTCAACACAGAGGCTTACCTAAAATTCTTTGAGGAGGTAAGGCTGCCCAGAGATTGGCTACTGGAAGGTCCAGTCATATTTTGTCAAATAATTTCTGCGACCCCATCAACCATTATATATGACAACCTAACTACCCAGACTACAAACCCTTGATTATTATGTGTAGGACACGATTGAGCGAGAATATATATATATATATATATATATATATATATATATAAAATATAACTGTCTATTTATGAATATATATAAATATATATATATATATATAAATATATATTTATAAATATATATAAATATGTATATAAAATATATAAACATATATGTATATAATATATATATATATATATATATATATATATATATATATATATATAAACATATATGTACCTAAACATATATATATAAACACACACACATATATATATATATATATATATATATATATATATATATATATATATATATATATATATCGTCAAACACACACATATATATATAAATGCACATATATACATGCACACCCACACATATATATACATATATATATATATATTACACAAAAACAGTTACTTTTCTTTTTCTTCCTTCCATATACCCCCACCCCATGTTTTTGCTTTTTCATTCACTGCTGAATAAAAGCCCCTGCCTCAACCTTAGCAATGCCTCCTCCTTTATTTTTTCTCTTTCTTTTATTGTATATTGAGACTAACTTTTGAAACATTTCAATCATTCCTGACATTGATCGCTTTGATTCTATTTCATTGGGTTAAGCATATGAATTTTTTTCTCTCTCTCTCTCTCACTCACTCACACACACACTAAATTACAATACTAAAACAATTCAGTGACCAGTGGCAAGTAACGGAACTCTGACAACAGACACGCATGCGTGTTACTATTTGTAACATTAAAAGATTTCTCCCACCATAATAACTGAACCCTTTACTCCTAAAACTCAATAATTGTTTCAATGATGGAGACATACATGGACATATTGCATGTTCTATTATCTACGGCCAGCATATATGCATTGAGTTTATTTATTGGGGTTTATTGAATTTTTCTTTCAAACTCTATTCCATGCAGCGTTTTCAGACAGAGGGGGAACCTCTGAGTTCTTTTCTTTGTTCATGCGGATGCCTGGCTTATTAGGTGGTCAGCGTGGAGAACGTGGTTTTAGAGTGATTGTCTCATCATGGCCCCTACGGGCAATAATGGTCTCCCAAGTACAACGACAACAGAACAAATCGAAGGAAATTTTAACTTGGATCTCGAAGATTACGAGGAATGTGGAGGACGCATAAAATGGGTGAGTGAACTCTTAATTTGTTCGAAGACTTTCTTTTCATTTAATATTTTCTTTTTTTTTTTTTTTTTTTTTTCAACTAAAACTGGCATTTATTTAGTTTATTGCATTTTAAATTTCTTGTTAGTGTTCGTATTGTTGTTAAGAATCGTTTTATTTTACAGATATAAATTAAACTGAGTTTGAAAGGCAAAGTTCATTATTTTTCTTTTTATCCCGGTTTAGATCAGCTTTCTTCTATGTTTCTCGTTGTTCTTACAGATGTTTTTTTTTCTTTTCTTATTTGCGACATACATTTTAGGTTTCTTTTTTTTCATTTCTGTTTCTTCTCTCCTGTCTCTCACCACTCTTTTAATTCATACCATAATACCTCTTTTTCTTCATTTCGTATTTCTCCTTCTCTTCTTCTTCTTCGCTATTCTCCTTCTCTGCTTCTTCACTTTTCTCCTTCTCTGATTTTTTGCACTTCTTCTCTTCTTCTTCTTCGCTCTTCTCTTCTTCTTCTCCTCCTCTTCTTCTCTTCTTCTTCGCTTTTCTCTTCTTCTTCTCTTCTTCTTCGCTCTTCTTCTTCTCCTCTTCTTCTTCGCTCTTCTCCTTCTCTGCTTCTTCTCTTCTTCTTCGCTCTTCTTCTTCTCCTCTTCTTCTTCTCACTTCTCCTTCTCTGCTTCTTCTCTTTTCTTCTTCTCACTTCTCCTTCTCTTCTTTTCTGCACTTCTTCTTCTTCTGCTTCTTCTTCTTCGCTAATTTTCTTTACATTTTGCTTTTCTTTATCCCTGCTTTCTTCCTTTGCTTTCTTTTCAGTTTCTCTTTTTCCTCTTTTCTGTCTTCTTTATGTCCATCCCCCCTCCTCACTTGCCTTTATCTCTTTGTCTTTATCTCCTCCTTTTCTCTCTATTTCTAACTACCCTCTAAATTTAGTTTACTTTTATTTTTATTCCCTCCCCCTCTTCGTTTCTCCTCTCAATTTTATTGGTCCTTTCTGTCGTTATTTATTGTCTTTGCTTATTTGATATTTTTTCTTTTTCTTCGTCTTTCTTTCTTTTTTCCTTTAATTTTCTTATCTCTTTTTGTTCACTCCTTTTCATCTTTTATTCGATTTCAAACCAAGTAAAAGGCAATGCATTCTCCCATTTCTCTTCCATTTCTCATTTCACACAGATCCGTTTTCATTTTCTGCTTCCGATAAATTTCTATATTTTTAATTTGACATTTCTTTTCTTCCGTCTTCACGTATCCTGCGATTACCCCAAACAATTGAAACAAATAATAATTCATATACTATTCGGATTCCACATTAGTAAAGGCCATTGGATTGGATTAACACTCCTCACTCATGTCTGCCGAAAGAGATAAGACAATGTGTATTATTTTGCGTTCGACCAGGTGAATATAACAATTCTTGATTCAAGCACCGAGGTTTCTTCTTATTTGTGCATCAAATGGGTATAACTTTCCTCGCACGGGTAGCATGCAAACAGAAAGATAAAATAGAAAGTGAAAACTAAAAGAATTTGCTGCTAGCGGTTCAGTGCACGCGAAAGAAACTTGTGGATTAAAAAGAAATTAATTACTTGAGAAAAATGGGCTTCACTTTAAAAAAAACAAAAAAAGATGAAGTTGCAATGACACCAGTTTACCGTCAAACTTTGTTTTTGGTTTCTCTTCCTAATTTCTTTCTTGACTACTACTTTTGTCTGTCTCTCTCTTCTTTCTTTCCTTTGTCTGTCTCTCTCTCTCTTCTTTCTTTCCTTTGTCTGTCTCTCTCTCTCTTCTTTCTTTCCTTTGTCTGTCTCTCTCTCTTCTTTCTTTCCTTTGTCTCTCTCTCTCTCTTCTTTCTTTCCTTTGTCTCTCTCTCTCTCTTCTTTCTTTCCTTTGTCTCTCTCTCTCTCTCTTCTTTCTTTCCTTTGTCTCTCTCTCTCTTCTTTTTCTTTCCTTTGTCTCTCTCTCTCTCTTCTTTCTTTCCTTTGTCTCTCTCTCTCTTTTCTTTCTTTCCTTTGTCTCTCTCTCTCTTCTTTCTTTCCTTTTCTCTCTCTCTTCTTTCTTTCTTTCTCTTCTCTTTCTTTCTTTCTTTGTCTCTCTCTCTCTCTCTTTTTCTTTCCTTTGTCTCTCTCTCTCTTCTTTCTTTCCTTTGTCTCTCTCTCTCTTTTTTTCTTTCCTTTGTCTCTCTCTCTCTCTTTCTTTTGTCTCTCTCTCTTTCTTTCCCTTTGTCTCTCTCTCTCTTCTTTTTTTTCTTTTGTCTCTCTCTCTCTCTTCTTTCTTTCCTTTGTCTCTCTCTCTCTCTCTTCTTTCTTTCCTTTGTCTCTCTCTCTCTCTTCTTTCTTTCCTTTGTCTCTCTCTCTCTCTTCTTTCTTTCCTTTGTCTCTCTCTCTCTTTCTTTCCTTTGTTTCTTTCTCTCTTCTTTGTCTCTCTCTCTCTTTCTTTCTTTCCTTTGTCTCTCTCTCTCTTCTTTCTTTCCTTTGTCTCTCTCTCTCTCTCTTCTTTCTTTCCTTTGTCTCTCTCTCTCTCTTTCTTTCTTTCCTTTGTCTCTCTCTCTCTCTTCTTTCTTTCCTTTGTCTCTCTCTCTCTTCTTTCTTTCCTTTGTCTCTCTCTCTCTCTTCTTTCTTTCCTTTGTCTCTCTCTCTCTTCTTTTCTTTCCTTTGTCTCTCTCTCTCTTTTTTTCTTTCCTTTCTCTCTCTCTCTCTTTTTTTTCTTTCCTTTCTCTCTCTCTCTCTTTTTTTTCTTTCCTTTCTCTCTCTCTCTCTTTTTTTTCTTTCCTTTCTCTCTCTCTCTCTCTTCTTTCTTTCTTTGTCTCTCTCTCTTCTTCTTTCTTTCTTCTTTCTCTCTCTCTCTTCTTTCTTTCTTTCCTTTGTCTCTCTCTCTCTTCTTTCTTTCTTTCCTTTGTCTCTCTCTCTCTCTTCTTTCTTTCCTTTGTCTCTCTCTCTTCTTTCTCTCTTTCTTTCTTTCTTCTCTCTCTCCCTTCTTTTGTCAAGCTTTTCCTTTTTTTTCTTGTTCAGTAATTTCTTTCTATCCTTTATATTTCAATTCAACTTTCTTAACAGCAAAATAAGAATCAATTGAAAAAGAAAACCTTCTGCGTTTCTTTAAAAGTTTCAACTTCTGTCATTTCTAATCTGTTCAATTCTCCTGGAGTTTTTTTTTTCTTAGTCAAGCTTTGTATATGTTTAGAAATGTTTGCTTATATTTCTTTAATTTACTGAAGCTGTTGCAGTTAGACTGTTTTCAAGCCTAGGATTCTTTGGAAAATGTGTTATTTTGACGACACAAATCTTTTATTTAAATTTCCACCCAGAAAGCAGGAAAGGGGGCGGGACAAGCGTAGTAAGGGAAATTGAATATTATAATTGGACAACGTTTTAAGAAAAAAACTGTAAATAATAGTAAAGTTTTAATATTAACCGGCTTACAGCCATATCATGTCGAAACATCGGTTCCCGTACGATCACTGAAGTTAAGCACCGTCAGGCCTCGACAGTACCCAGATGAGTAACCGCTGGGGAATGCCAGATGATGAAAGATTGGATGTGCGACAGGTGTAATGGATCGGTGAGCCGCGTTCCAATTCCCGTTGAGGTATTAATCCACGGATTTTCTCCTCCAGTTATGGACTCACTTAGTAAGACTTGTATCCGTAAATCATTAACATCACCCTAAAAATTCTCTTCGAATCTAAAAATATTTTGTGGTTTTAAAAGCCCTAGAAAAGGTTAAGCCGTAGCAAACAAATTCATCTATCCATCGATAGATCATCTGAAATCGGCCACAACTAAGCTGACTAATAAAATGATTTTATGAAAAGTTTGTGAAACATTCCAGTTTTAACTAATAATCACCTTTTGAGATAAATTTAATCAATAGTTCCATTCATGTTCCGGTCAGTTTTTACTATTACACACGTCTCTGTCTTTTTTTTTTTTTTTTTTTTTTTTTCGTGTTAGTTTTTTCTTGTTTGATTGTCTCTCTTTTGTTTTTGTCTTGTTTGATTGTCTCTCTTTTTTTTCTCTTGTTTGATTGTCTCTCTTTTTTTTCTCTTGTTTGATTGTCTCTCTTTTTTTTTTTTTTGTCTTGTTTGATTGTCTCTCTTTTTTTTGTCTTGTTTGTCTATTTCGTCTTCTTTTGGGGAGGAATTTTTATTTATTTTTTAACTACACAAATTTTGAATTTAAAACTTCATTTTATTTCATGATTTGTACTTTCATTTCTCACTTGTCTCAGTTTTTTTTTCTTACTTTAATGTATTGAGATACAATCCGTGCTTGCACACTCCTGATAAAAAAGAACGGTAAGTGTTTACGGTTATACCCGTCTCTTTTACTGACCTAATACGTATGATCGATTCCGCCCTTAATTTACCGTCATTGGCCAATTGACTACTTCAAAGGCATAATAACCTGGGTGAATAGTAAAATAATGCTCATCTTATCTGTCATTCATTTTAAGTCTTATTTGCATTGTTTTCAATATTATCATTATGGCTGAATATGATTAATCATTAATTGCAACATGCTAGTTGTCCTATTAGCCTGATTATTTTGATTGTCTGTTTTATTCCAAAACAGACTCCCCGAGAATGACAATGAAAAAGGTTACATACGCCATTTACTTTTTACCGACTCTTTCGAAACCTTTCTCTTGCCGACAAGCGGCTCCCAAAACCTAGCAGCAAATATCATTAGCAGATTCTATACACAAGCACATTAAAAATAGCTAGAAATGCTTACTAAAAATTACGGTATCACGAGTTTGTGGAATAATAGTGCCTGGTTCAATCCTGATTTTGAAGAAAATTATCTGCCAAACCAGACATGACAACTAGCAGAAAAAATTGACTCTGCCGATGAGTCTGTGCCCGAGTAACACTGATGACCTAGAATCACCACTATTATACGATGTACACTATCTCTGTTTAAAAAGTTTATACCAAAATAAACACAAAAGTCTCAGAATCCAAAATCTTGTCCCTAATATAATTTTCTTCTTACTCAATCGAGATACTCCATCTTTTGGAAGAGGGGATATCTCTTGATGGTTTGACTGCTTTCAAGTGGCTAAGAAAGCAGTCAAGTAACCAATTCATAGCGGATATACATACTTTTATTCAAAGTTTCCTCTTTTACCTCATCATCACTGGTGAACAATTATCCCCCGAACGCATCTTTTATAATATCAAATGTCATCCTAGAAGTAATTTACACCTCCAGTAGCCAATGACGACACTGGCCTGCATGCGCTACCCTGGCTATCCTAAAAATTTCACTAGTTATGTTCTAGTACTTTCGTCAGATCTAATAAGATCATCAACCTGTTTGACTTCATTTACAGCAACAGATTACCTGCCACTGTGGGGCCTGTCACTGAAATCGGTTTCTTCCTTCTTTATATGACTGACCCTCTCGTTAACGAGCTTACATCAGGTACAGCCTTTTCAGAAACATTCACTAAGCTCTTGTGAAATTTCATTTCCAAAAGTATATATGTTCTATAAGAGCCCTTTTTCTACATATCTGGACGGAAAAACATTTTCAAAGATGATTGAGTAGGAAAAGAGATCTATCTACTTTTTATATTTCTCCTGTATTTCCAGACATTTTATGGTTTAAAAGTAAAAAAAAGTCCTCAGGGACACGTAGCACAGTGGATAAAGGCGTTAGTTACATCCAGTTACAGGACCCAAAGAGTGTGAGTTCAATACCTGGTTAAGGCAGTGGAGAACTTGGAGAGGGGAATTAACAGGAGATAACTGATAACTGACATCCATCAAACATGGCACGTGGAACTAGAACAGTCTACCCCAGTGAGCGAAAAAAGGGTTCAGGTCGACATTCCAACCACCTGAAGAAGGCCGGAGCATACAACGGCCGAAACGTTGTGATAAATATGGCGACAAAGAGGACAATAGTCCGAATAATGTAAATAGTGTAAAAAAAATGTTATGCATGGTAATACTTTTAAAATTAAATTAGAATAGGTATTGCATTTTTGCATAAATATTTCATAAATTGTTTTAGCTATGATCAATCAGCCTCTCAGCGTTTTGATTACCCATTTTGCACACCTCTTTGAAGCCCCAAGAGCCTTCCATATAGTGCAAGCATTATAATGATCATGCGTGTCCAAGAAGCAGAAGTTTTGAAAGATGAATATCAGTAGAAAAAGTGGAAGTAATTGTATAAATTCTTCCATTGTTCTTGTATACAGTTTATGGATTTATTTTTTTGTTTAAAAAAAAAAAAAACTCCAAGTAGTTTGATTAATGCCATGAAAATGAAAAGAGACAATGCTTTTTCACCATACTGTGTGTGTATGTATTAGCAGACTATTTCTAACAATTTTATTTGCCAGGAGACATAGAAGCCCACCCATAACTACAATGCTATCATTTAATTTTTATAATGTATAAAATCAAATTTCAAAAAATACATATCGGAGGGGAAAAGAGTAAAATTAAAGATTTTGTGAAAAGAATGTATCTCTTAATCATTACAGTGTATATGTACTGTACATATTACTGGCAGTAAATACCAAATGTAAATACAGAGTGTTATACTTTAATGTTTTATTTATATTTTTAATTTTAAGCAATTGGTTGATGTTTTTAAATAGTTTAACTGCACAATTTATTCATTACCAGTTCAAAAGCAATAGATTTCAGTTCATTCTATTAAGAGCAATCGATTCTGTTCCTAAGATAATTGTTTGCATCTTCCAATAATTGCTTCTGCATCTATTTCATCTAACGATTCTTTTTCAATAGATAGCAACATCGATGATTCCCTTCAGAACGTTGATGATCATAGCTCTCCACAACTTTCTGAGCTACAAAGCACTTAGGAAGTTTTGAGTGCTACTATAGTATAATATCCACCGTCCATTTTCTAATATAGTATGATATCTACTGTTCAGAGTTTGTCTATATTTCAGTAATAAGGAGTGCCAGAGAAAAGCAATGATAACAAAGTTGCAATATGAACTCTGGTAAAGACATGCAATGATAACAGCAAAAAAATTGCAATATGAGCACTGGTAAAAATGATGCTGAAAACATTAGGTTTATAATACTCAGAAGTTCGTACCCAGATGTCCTCAAGGACACATGGGATAAAGGCGTTGGTTAGATCCAGTGACAGACCCAAAGAAGGTGAGTTCAATTCCTGGTTAAGGCAGTGGAGAACTTTCAGAGGGAAAATTAGCAGGAGATAACTGATAACTGACATCCATCAAACATGGCACGTGGAATTAGAACAGTCTACCCCAGCGATCGAAATAAAGGGTTCAGTTCGAAATTCCAACCACCGAAACGTTGTGACAAATATGGCGACAAAGATGAGGACAATAGTCCGACTAATGTAAATAATCTACTGTCCATTTTCTACTATTGTATTATATTTACCAACTGTTGGGAGTATGAAATATGTTAGGGTTAGGATTAGGATTAAAGGTAGTGAACTGGTTATGTATTAAAAATCATTAACAATTTTTTATACAAAATATAAAAATCATCAAATGGTGATTTTTTTGCGGGGGGTGAAATTTTTTTTTTTTTTTTTTTTTTTTTAAATGTTTGTAGACTGATTTGATGTCATTTAAAAAACAGTAAACAGGTCACCGTTTTTCCTGAGAATTTTCCAGCAATAATGAGTGCATTGTCATTTACGGTAGGTCGCAAATGTCTCTAGATATCATACAAATTTTGTCTCTTTGCCATCTCTCTGTTCTGCCATCCATTTCCACAAACTCGTTAGGGGAGGGTATATGCTTTCATCTGTCTCTCCTGCCTTCAGTACGCCCTGTTCTCCCCCCCCCCTTATGTGTCCTGAAAATATCAACTGTCTTTTTTTATAAACATAAGTCTCCTTTTTGTTTCGATTTTCACTAAATCTTCGTCATTGCTCCCATGTTCAATTCAGGATATTCTCAGCATCTTTCTGTTAGCACTGTCATATTTTGTTTAAAAGGTTCACATTTGTTGGGCTAAAGTATACTTATTACAATACTATAAGTATCTGTATTTACAAATATATATAATGTGCACGCACGTAAATTAGGGAGAGAGATATTAACTTGCAAATCCAATTCATTCAACTGAATCTGATTTCTTTCTCAAAACAGTTGCTTCTTTAAGTGTTTGATATCAAACAAATGCTTTCTATATTTATCGGTTAAAAGCAGCTTTGATAAACAATCCCAATAAATTCTCTTTTATCTTATTTGAAAATCAAATAAGTCTCTTTTATGCGTAATCTGTTTTTCTTTTTTATTGTCAGGCTTCTTATTGATGGACTGACAATACAGTTGTCTCCCTTTATTTATGACGGATTTAATGGCGATATGACTACTCGCTTTCGATCTAAATTGAATCCAAATAATATAAACAACACAATCGATACATTATCAGTTCGTACATTTCCGTTAGATGTTCGGAGTGAATAATTTCCTTTCCTGGCATCTCTCAGTAATGGGAGATTATTTATTTCTGGGATGAGCAATTATTATTTACATTACTCGCATTCAGA